ACCAAAGTAAAGGTCAAAGAGTGAGGAAATACAATTCATTTACTGTGGAAGGAGGCAGGGAATGTGGAATAGTAACCTAATCACAGAGTTCATTAAAGATCTGTGACAAAGTACGGTATCTTTGAGGGAAAGCCAGAAAGCCAATGTGATTAAAATATTGGGACAGAAGCTGAGAGTCATAGGATATGATGACAGAGAAGAGAGACTCACTCTGGTAATACAGGCTTTGATCAGGGATTTGTTTTAAGTATAAAAAAAATTCTTGAGAGTGTTTTAAGCAGAGAATGACAAGAATAGATTTACTTTTAAGAAAATCTACTTTGTCTATTATGTGGACTATACTAAAAGGGTTCAAGATTGCTTTCATGGAGAATATTCAGGTGGTCATTGTTGCAGCTCAGGGGAGCGGTGGTGATGTGTTGAATCTAGGCGGTAACAATGAAGTAATAAAAAGCAGTTGCACATGGATTACGTTTTGATAATTGACCCTATAGACTGAGGAGAAGAAAGGTCATGTAAATGGATCCCACTGTTTTCATATATGCAGTTTGGTAAATCATAATTCCAGTAATTGAAAAGATAAATATTAGAGAAAGATTTTTTCTACTAGACTTTTTTATTGTTGCATGTTTGCAGTATATAATGAATACATTCATGGTGAGGAGTTGATATATATCAATCACATCTTAATCCTTTTTAGTTCCTCTTCCTCTTTTCTTCTTCCCCCTTATTTCAATCCCTAGGTTCCCTTCCCATCTGCAAAAGGTATTTTTAGAATGTTGTTTGGAGAAATAAAAATTTTATCATGGACAGTAATTAACTGGATGAAATTCTAAGTACATCCACTGTGGATATAATGGCAATTTGGGTAGTCAGAGGTTCAAATGTGGAAGTTATTACAAGAAAATTAGGATTCAAAATCATGGCCTTCACTGAAATTACTGGGAAAGGACTATACATTAAAAAAAAGAAACAGAAAGAAGAATTATGAATAATGTAGGACCATAATATTCCAATTTCAACATCTAATATGTTAAAAAGAAAAAAAGTGAAGACGTTTTGCTTAGGGCTGGAAGTGTAGCTCAGTTGTAGTTTTTCTATAGTTTGCACAGGTCCCATGTTTCATTCTACAGCACTACAAAATAAACAAACAAACAAATAAATAAATAGATAATTTTTTAGAAAAGTGTTTCACCAAAGCTGGTATAGTTCAATTTTATCTGTTTAATTTTGGATATTGAAAATGCTACAGAAATCATCTTAGGTTTTATAATGTAAAAAATGGAGAAAGTTTTATTTCAATAAAACCTCAACTCATTTATTACTCTAGGAAATTATACTAATTTGTAAAACCAAGATACAGAAAAGAAAATGATTGTCAAGTACCCCCCCCCCCCGAATTTTGCTATTATTCAGAAAAGAGACAGAAGGACAATTACCTGATCAGGGAGTAGAGATTTGGTGTTATCTATTTTCTTAGGTATGAGAAATAAAATTAATGGTGAACTTGGCAAAACTGCAATATGGAGCATCCTTAGTTAAATGTGGGAACTTATTAACATGTAGGTCTCAAGCAAAACATGTGTTATAATTTAAGTTGCAAAACATGCTTTGGCCCAAAAACATCTATCAATTTTCCAAGTTAATTACAGATAAGGAGTTAAGAGTAGATATGGGAAGACCAAAAAAAGAAATGAACTGGGAATTTGTAGAGATAAGTGAAATTGTGGTTACACTTAGATTGAGAAATTGAACATTTAACTTCCATTTACCTAAATCTTCAAGGTCTGAGATATATGCATTTAGTGTATAAGAAAATATGTGTGTTTATGGGGGTGTGGATGCAAATATCTATTTGTATATCTAGAAAATGATCTTTAATTGAAGAAGAAAATCAATTGGGCTTACAAAGAGTTTGCTGTCATTGTTTGTTCAGATGAATCAGAGTTATATCTCCCAACCAGAGATTCATTTAGGGAAATAAAACAAACTAACACTTTATCCTAGATACTCAACTGATGAATGGATATAATCCCAGGGTTATCATGTTAAGTGATTTTTAAAAGTTGATTTTCCCAGTCAGGAGGAAATATGTTACCGGGAAAAGGACGAGTCGCTAAAGGCTCACATACAATATAAAGATAAATGATAACAAAGCAGTTTTATGAATTGTGGCTAAAAATGATAAAACTGAAATACTGAAATAACATGTTAGGTATATAAATATTTAATATTTAAATTTAGTTTAGTAAGAATGCTTTGTGAAATTATATATTATAAGCCTTGGAAGAAGAAACATAAGGCATTTTTTCCTTATTGGACTTTATGGATTATAATAATACAGATAAACTTCTCATAAACATTTAGCAGAAACTAAGTAGAGCTGAAGTGGATGAGAATGCTTTCAGAATTCAAACTTGGAAAGATTTGTTTTTACTGGATTGTAAAGTAGTTTTTTAAATGAGAGATAACATCACAAAGGAAGAGACAGCATGTTTGAGGAAAAATGGATGGCATATTTCAGGTGCTAAGGAAAATGCCAAGTTGCAGCTATTTAGTTCTAAAACTATTGAACAAGGAAACTGTTGGCAATGTGAAGGAACCTTCAGAAGTACAGGAAGACAGGAAGAAATCACATGAAACTGAAGAACCGCTGCTCCTCAGTTGGTCACAGAACTTTCCCAGCTCCAAATTAAATACATTTACAGATCATTCTTTTTAATTGTCAATTATTCAGGCATCTCTGTGGATTGTTTTGAGAAATTATCTAATAAATGGCTAAAAAGCCATAGATGAAACTGGGAAATCTACTTACTGTAGAGATCTTGCAATCAACCAATACCTAGAGAAGTGACATCATCGTAAAGTTAGTGACCTCAAACTGGAAGGCGAATGTACGAAAATGATCAAAAAACAATGTTCAGGCTCTTTATTACTTTTTGATAATCTAGTAAAAAGAGATTTTAAGTAACATGCCTCTAGAATAAAAATAGTTCTCATCTCCATGAAAAGTGCCTAAAATCCTTCATTAAAGGGATTTTTTTTAGTATTTTCTAGGATGTTTACAAATGTAAATATCCACACTTAGATCTTGTCCTAAAACAAATTAGTTTATTGGCTTTTCTGTAGCTTGATGACACTAAGGCTAAAAGGAAAAAAAGTAGCTCATTTAAAAATTACCATTATGATTCAGATAAAGTTTATCTACCTTGTAATTTTAACAGAAAAATTGCACATCTTTTTCATTCCCCAAAGAAAGAGTATGGAACATTTATTTGATTTTTAATCATGATTTGACATTATAACACTGTTCCTCAATTCTTTTGGATATATCACATATCTAAAATAATTTTCACATTAATAAAAAATATTCTTGTTGTATACTCAAAATGAATTTTTATTATTCTCTTGTCTTTAAAAGAAATCTTGTCAGCATTTCCCTCAGGTTCACTTGTTGAAAAAAATCACTTGCGGAAAGTAAGATTCACACTTCCTTTTTACTATTAGACTGTTACCACACATTTTAAAAGATTATTCTTTGTGTTTGCAATTCAAAAGCAGACAAACAACTCATTTAAATATCTTGCAAAGAATATATAATTTCTTGATTTCTTCAGCAGAAAAGGATTCTGTCACAAAGATGCTCTGATAGCAACAGGAAAATTAGCACAGCTCTCAGAATAAGTGAAAATCAAGCCTTTTATACATCTATTGTGCCCCCTAATGGTAGGAAAGCAAAAGAAAAAAATCTAGACATATTTCACATTTCTTTGCCAATTAGGTATCCTTAAGAGAAAACTTCCCCCGGGTGAGTGGTGCTCAGTCTATTTTATACAAGTTACTAAACAAATTAAAAGAAATAAAAGTATGTGCCATTGCTAAATTCCTGAACATTAAATTATAGGACCTATTCCTTGCTATTTGAAATCATTATTACATCTTTTAAATTAATCCCTTTCTTTAAGGTTAAGGTAGAGATGAAAAAGTTAATATAACATATACTATATAATATTATTCAACTCTGTATAACTGTCCAGATTTTTCTTGCAATTATTTCTAAACGATTGATTCATTTAATAAACAAATCTCAGATACCTTTAATTTTAAATACAACCCTAACAGTACTGTCTGTTCAGATCACTCCGTGCATCCTGAAATACATAATGCAAGAAAAAAGCTTTACTCTCAAAGGCATTTAGAACAATTTTCTTCTGAGACCACAGAGAAAGAATGAATATCATTGTAACTCATGAAAATCATGATGACTCTATCTTAGATATGTGATTTTAGCTAATGGCAGCTGTATAAGATTTTCTTCTTTCTGAATGTACATTCTCAATTTTTATGGCAAAAAAAGGAATATACCAGGAAAAGAAATCTGATGCAATGGTGAAAAACAGTAAGAAGAGAATTATGAAAGAAACAGGTTATAGCATCAGGAATGAATCCAAAATGAATGAAGCCATGGTGACAGAAAGAGTAAAGAGGAAAAAAAAGCCATCAATAATTCAACTATACACAGTCTCATCTTCTAGCACATAATTTATAGCAGCATTTTACTAACATGATTCTTAAGACATTCAAAAGTTATCATGTATAATTCAGTCATTCTCTCAGATACATATAATACAAATTTTTTAATTTATCAGGAATAATATTCCATATTTTGGAGCTATTTCTCATTCTTCATTGACTTTCTTCTCTTCTTCTAAATTATTTTGCTTAATCCTTATAACATTCTCTATCTTTTTCTATATTTTTTCTTTTAGCGTGTATTATTTAGAACATGTATCAGTTTTGAAATCACAAAACATTTATTCAGAAGTTTAGACTATCAGAAATTTACTCTAAATGTAAAAATTTCCAAGACTAAGGAGTCACTGATTGAATGCAGATTTTATTCTGCAGATTTTCCTTAAATATTAGAAAAAAACTGATCTGACGTTTCATAAAGTGAGAATGACTAATTTTTGGAGTGCAACATTAGAGAAAGTGGAGCAGGATGGCACTGGGAGTTCTTTTCCAGTATATGGCAGTGCCTTTGAATGATTCCTTCTGTGCGTCAGAAATCTGGAGCAAGAGCAGCAATTAGGGAAGATCGTCACATTCACTAAAGGTTTAGGAGGGAGGGTAAAGGATACAGGAAATGGGGAGGAGGGAGGTGAGACAAGAGGAAGGTTAAGCAGGGCACATCCTGAAGAGATAATCCCCATGCACACATGACATCATCCTCCTGTAACATACATATATAGGGAATGGCCACAGCAGCCCTCATAGTTCACTCACATTCAAAGCCAGCTGAAGGGAAGAGAAGGCTCCAAAGAGAGCCCCCTTCAGTGTCTTTCTGGCTTTCGTGGACTTGGCTTGGTAGAAAACTGAAGGATATAATGGCAGGAATGAAAATCCAGCTGGTCTGCATGATACTCCTGGCTTTCAGCTCCTGGGGGCTATGCTCAGGTAAGCTCAGCTGCTTTTCACAACTCCCTGGAGTGATTTCTTTTGCAGCGTGTTGCTGCTTAAGTTAATGAATCCAAGAGAAGAGTTTCTTCCACTTACTCAGAATTTGCCTTATTTATAGTAATAGAAACTGTGAATCCATCATTCTCTGTGTTCATAAGAATAGGAAAGGTTATTTTCCCTTTTTAAATCTGCAAAGTAACAAAAGGGATTTCAGTGAAGCACCGCATGCCCTCCTTTGCAATAGAGAAGGTAGAGAAAAGCAAACAAATATAAAACTTTGAATTAGGTTGGTCATTGTCTAAGAGGACAGAAGCTGTGCCTGTCAACATGCAAATTCATTGTTAAAATTCATTCCATTTAAAATGCTTTCCTTTCATCCTTATTCTCTTAGGAAGCTGTGGCTTGTCCCTTTTCCTTTTTTGTAATTGTTGCCAAATTATTTTTTAACTGCATATGTGAGAATACATACAATAAAAATTGATGAATGAATGAAATATTATTTATAAAATTATTTCTAGAAACATGCAAAATCTTCCTAGTCCTTTTCAAAAAGTATAGTTTATAGTCCATGTGACAAACAGGCATGATATTAATATTATTGCTTGGGTTTTTTCATGTTGTATAAGTTGATAGAAAATTTAATTGGAAAATTGTTATTTTTATATTATTGGAAAAATTTAACTAGAGAGTGTTTTGCATATGATAGTTAAAGAGAAGCCAAATTCTAATATGTCAATAATCTGCCTAGAAAATAATACTTAAATTTAAAGAAGTAACATAGAATATTATGACTGCAATATGCTTCAATCAATATTTGAAAAATAATTAGATAAATGGAAAATGGGACAAATGAAGCAAAAATCATTTAAACCCATTTTATGCTTTTATATCATAAATATGGCATTGAATTATTAAATTCAAATTTATAATATTTATTTTAGATATGAGCTAAAATCCAGAAGAATATACGGATGTAATTTATGCTAAAAAATATGTTTTTTTTAGAAAAGGACCTTGAATTTCTAATTTTGCAAATCTTTAGTAAGAAAAATACCAACGTTCCCATCATTATGAATTCATCAAATAGAGGAGGTTAAAGTTTTACTTAGGAGGATGCGGTAGTAGATTGTTAATGAAACACTGTGCATAATAGCTCCTGATATTACCTGCTGCTAGAAGCCCAGAATTTATGAAGATTTTGGTGTACTTTGTTCAAAAATGACTAATGGAATTTGTCATTTCTTTTGAAAAACATATTACATCTCTAATAAATAGAGAGAAAAAATATATAGTATAATTTATTTCCCAGATGCAATTCATAAATAATGTTACCAGGTATATTTCTCTTTCAAACGAATATCTAATAAAAGGAAGATAGAGCCATTTTTAATTTCTGCCTTGTTTTTTCACAACGTGGTCAGTGAATATGAACTAAGTCACCTTATTACAATGTTCTGCAAAATTTCTCTATTACTTTGTGGTATTTTCTAAATTTTTCTTCTCTAGTGAATGTTCACTAGTGGAAACTTGGAAACATTGTTCTAAATAATTCAGAGATCCATTTTCAATACAACTTTACATATGCTGATGGACAGCTCCATTTTGCTTAAACAATTTCCTTATTCCCCTGTGATAAAGTTGTAGTGTATCTATAATTCAAAATTTTTGTTTAAAGTAGAAAACAATTCTTTCAAAAAGAGTTTTGTAAAACAGCAACTCTAGTGAAATAAATTTCAGAATCCCTTTTATTCTAAAATTATCAGTACAAAATTCCCTTTGATTTTGTCTTGAAAAAGACTCTTGTACTCATATTTTCCTTATGCTATTTATTAAGCATCAGTATGGAAATAGCATAAACCTTTGCTGGTAAAAATAAGCAACTGTAAAATGTTTGATGAAATCTATATTGTACAATACATTCAAATATTTTTACTGATATTCAAACATTGAACAACACCATACCATAAGTAGTTCTCTTAGCAAATAGTCATATCCTTATCTTCTGAGAAGTGCTTCTTCTATCCTAGCTGCCTGTCAGCTTAAAATTAAATTATAACTTTCTATTTTTCTGAATACCATTTTAAAGAACATAAATACATAGAAAAGACACAAAACCTCTATGACTAATTTTTTAAATGAATTTTAAACCTGTAAGAACAATATTATATGATGTGTGATTATATAGTAAACATGTGGTTTTGATTTTGCTCAGATTCTGAAGAGGAAATGAAAGCATTGGAAGCAGATTTATTGACAAATATGCATACATCAAAGGTAATATTTTTTTCTTTTCTTGAGCCCAGGGTTAAAGAATATATGAGTTTTATTATAGATATGGTGTTGTTTTCTTATAGTAATAATTTCCCATCAAGACAGAAAACTCCCATGTGAGGCATTTCCTTTTCTGAGAAACTTCTTTGAGTTTTAAGGAGCTATGAGTGTGGACATGGCAGGAAAAGAAACTACAATGAATATCAATCAGCATATTGCAATTTAAATTTAGTAGTCACATATAACTTACGTAGTCTTGAAAATATATTAAAAGAAATTGTTTCCATCCTTATTAGATTGTATGTGATGAAAGGTATATTGGCCTCAAGTTCAATACCTAAATGAAACCTATGTGAACTTTTTGCTCCTTTAATTCTATTCTGGGAAAATAAAGTAGGTTTTCTCAATTAAAAATGACTGTTCATGACAACTTGTGAGGGAAACGTGCTAGAGAGGAGAAATCAATAGACTGCCAAACAGCAATGTTGAGATCAAATCCTGAAATTGTTATTGATGAACTAATTGATCTTAAACAATTGGGTGGGTTGACATGACTTAACTTTGTTTCTTTATATTTATATACAATGATTAGGGTTTATGATATTAAAGAAATTTATGGTTCTACAATGTACTTAAAAACTATACTCTTTAGTCTAGCAGAAGTGTCATCTGTACCTGCTAATTGTTTGATCAAACCAAGTAAACTTTGTATCCTGAGCCCTATCAATCTTTTCTTGGTATGGAGACAGCAAGCTTTCTAGTTTTCAACCTTCACCTACAAATACATCTCAATTAGAAGATGTCTAGGGGCTGGGGATTTAGCTCAGTGGTTTGGGCACCTGCCTTGCAAGTGCAAGGTCCCAAGTTAGATCCCCAGTACCAAAAAAAACAAAAACAAAAAAAAGTCTGATTACCATGCTACCATACAATGTGAGCGACTCAATCATTCAATCAGTGTGTATCTAAGTGTGTATTCAGGATACAGGTTTCCAATCAAAAGATATCTCTCAAGGAAAAATATGTAAGTGTGATAATCACTTGGTGAAATCATGGTTATAGCACTATTGTACCAAAATTGAGGATTCACTGGGTTATGGCAAGGAATTAAGCACTGATTCCTTTCTAAAGTCTGAGGTAATACTCATTCTGAATCTAGTTCTGCCTTCTCATCATTCTTTCCTATTTGGATGGACATGTTTTAGGAACAACAATCCCAAGTGTACAAGTAAGACTATGTTATGTTTGATAGTGGGTAAAAGGGAAAAAAATGGTCATTTTTGTTTGTGTTTGAGTATAAGGCATTATTATCTCAAAATGAACATTTTCTGCTGTGTTAATTAAAAGATAGTTTCAGAGAATTTAAAGCCACATGTACTTTCAAGGTGGCCCGGATCCACAAAAATTGATTGTATTCTAACCAAATGCCTCCATTATTTGGTAGATCTTGTATCAGAAACAATCAAATATCAGGGCTGGGGATTTAGTTCAGTGGTTGCTCTGCCTGCCTTGCAGGTACAAGTTCCTGAGCTTGATCCCCGGTTCCAAACAAACAAACAAACAAACAAAAAACCCCCAAAATGATCAAATTGAATTTAGCCATCAAAAGTTAAAGATTAAACTTTTTACTGTATGTTAAGAGATACTTCCCTGTATGGCTACAGTCTCTTCAACTCAAAATTAATCTCTGTTTGAAAATAAATTAGATTAGAAGAAATTGGTTCCTTGATATATATTTTATTCCTATAGTTTCAAAGGTACATTGATATATAAGGGTGCTAAATAGTCTTCAAAATGTGATATAGTTTTGGGAGTGCTAATTTGAGAACATATGAGAATGGAGTTAAGATTACTTTTCTGGTGAAGAAACTGCAAAGAAAAAGTAATTCCAGTATGGGATGATTTCACTTTTTCTTTTAAGAGAAATACATTGCAAAAATTTAGATAGATTTTTTTTTCTGTTTTATTCAATCATAGGAAGTACCTCTCATACAAATTAGGTAGAAAAACAGTTGAATTCCAATGCTTCCTTTTAAATGAGATAAATAAGATGCAGTCTATGATAAGTAGGTACCTAACACTATAATTACTCTATTTCTTTTTTACATGTATTTTCTGAATGATTCTGAGTCATTTCTGTTCACATGTAAGGTTTATGTTTTTAAAACTTTAAAAATATTTTAAAATTGCATTACCCATTTTTTAAGAGTTCCACCTGTACAAATTATATCGATTAACATTTTGTGACAGCTTTCCCCTTAGCTTGCTTTTAATTTTAGCTCAAGGTATTATAAATAACAGCCATAAATTTGAAAAGTATATTTATCTAAAAATATATTTTTCTATATGGATTCTAGTACAGGCATCTACCTAATGATCTTTCCAGGTTAATAAAAAATAATTCTATGTATTTTCACCGGAATTTATTTTTCTTCATAGCTAACTCATGTCAATACTGTTTGAATGTAATGCATCAAGGAAGTTTACATCCAGATCTACATTCAGATTTCTCCATAGCTTGCTGTCCCGAAGTATTTGAAATGCAACTTTTGCTATATGTTACACACCCACATATACTTGGACCAATTTTTAAACATTATATTGTCTCCTGTTAGGTTTTCTGTTCATTGTTTTCCTCTTAATTCATCACTAATTACTGCAGTATTTTAATGTTGGGTAGAATTAGTCCTTCCACTATTTTTTAATTTTTCAAACTTTTCTTGATTATTCTTGCACCCCCATCTTTCCAAATTAATTTTATAATTATGTTGCCAAATTCTCTTTTACACCTTCCAGTCTCCCCATATTTTAAAACTTGTTATTAATTTGCAATTTCATTATAGTTTCATAGTAATTGTGGGACAATTGTCATTTGATATTGTTATTGATTCTTCCCATGATTTCTTTGTGGTCATTTATATCCTGTTTTTAATAACTTTGAGGAAAAAAATTCATTCAACCCTTCTATGCTTTTTGATGTTTTTGTTAAATTTTGTTAATTTTGCAATTAACTTGCAATCTGCTACCCTATTTCTTATTAATAATTGTTGACATGTAGAAAAGTTGTTGACTATGCTAATTATACTTCGGACAAATCTTATTAGAAAAGAAAGATAATTCCACTAAACATTTTAATTTACAAATAAATAAATTGGTCAGCTATGACACTGCTCATAACAACTACTAATGTGTGAAATATTAAGTGACCTCACATTGCTGTAACTGTCCAATTTCATTAGTATCTTCTTAATTTCTGCTTCATTAGACACTAACCTAAAATATGATAAAGAAATAAGTGTTTTTTTTAATATTTAGTGTTCTCATCTAATATGTACATTATATATGTAAACCAATTGTCATTTTTCTTGTTTACTCTTTTTGGCTGTGTGTGTGCATGTGTGTGTGTGTAACTTTATTGCACTGTATTAAAAAGAGGATATATGGGTAGTCATTAAATTAATAATACTGTACTTATTATATAAGAGTAACAACTAGACCCTCAAGTATACCTGTTGAACACAATAGAGATTTACTTTGTTTCTATAGCACAAGTTTAAATTGCAACATCATTTTTTTTCTGTATTTCAGATCAGTAAAGCAAGTGTTCCCTCTTGGAAAATGACCCTGCTGAATGTTTGCAGTCTTATAAATAACCTGAACAGCCAACCTGAGGAAGCAGGAGAGATTCATGAAGAAGAGCTTGTAACAAGAAGGAAACTCCCCATTGTTTTAGATGGCTTTAGCTTGGAAGCAATGCTGACAATATACCAGCTGCAAAAAATCTGTCACAGCAGGGCCTTTCAACACTGGGAGGTAAAACAAAAATAAAATATCACTCTAATCATGGTTATACTAATTAACTCACATTTGTACTGGTTTTTGCATTATGATCATATGATAACAGGAAGACTCATAAATATTAAAAAGAATAAATGTGTTGCGGTCAACATTCCTTCAAATCTACAAAGTATCCTTTTCAAATATTTGGAAGTTAGCAAAATGGTTTTTCTTCAGTCTCAGCAATGAAGTCTATTATAAGGCAGATTTGATCCTTTTGCTTTTTGTGCTAAATGGGTGACATACTTAGGCAACCTTTGTTGATGGTAGTGCTGGTGGAATGTCTAAGAAATTTAAGGAACTCAAAATGTTTTCTTAAAAATACAGTCATGTGTGCTTATGCAAACACACGACACAAAGGTTTCCAAAAAAACAGTAATAAAACAAAAAAAGTTTCAATTTGTGTTTGAATATATTAGGCAAATAAAGGTACATGTATTTATTTCTATAAAAATATGATATATGGCTCTATATCATCACCCCAATTTTATTTACAATTTTAATATTTCCAAGTATATGAAGATTTTTTGAAGCTATTGATTTTTAATATATCTAGTAAATAACTATTTTTAAAATTTATACAAAATATATATGCCATGAATATATATCACTATCATTCCTATTTTGTTTGGGACCACTGTGCACTGTTTCTTTATAGATAAACAGACATGAATGATTGTGTGTGTCTATCTATCTTCTTATTTTAATTGGGTAGGTAGATTTCAGGCATTCTTAGTAGCTAAATTAGGACCATCACAACAAGAGAGTCAAATTCTACAATACAGAAATATAGTAAGCTGGATGATTCCCTTATATGAAATAGTACATTGATGACTTCCTATTTTGGCTTGAAAATGTTTGTGGAATTTTAAAAATAAATTTTATTGGTATATTTTAGGTATACATAATAACATTCACCATGTGGAATTTGTTCTTGTACATGATACATCTTGCTTCTTCTTTTTTTCCCTCTTTTCCTCCCCTCCCTTCAACCCTTCTTCCCCTCTTTATTTACAAAAGTTTCATTTCCATATTTTCCTTCTATTCTTTTCTTTTTCTTTTCCCTTCCTTCCTTTGTAATATTTAAAATAATTGAATAATGAAATTTGACTTGTGCTATTTAATATCTAGAGAGAGCTATTTAGAATCAAAAAATTATTTGAAAGAATCTAATGATTTTTCCCTGCATTCATGCAATCTAAACATATAGCAGCAAATTTATGAATAAACGTAACAGTGAAGTGGTCAGAATATTTAGTCCTACCCTGATGGTTATCTGTAGCCATCAAAGTTATATTTATCCATAATCCCAGTGTGGCTGTTCTGAATCTCAATCCACTGTTCTGAAGCAGATGTTTTCCATTTTGGATACACAGCTTAAATTCTGATGTATAAGACATTATCTCTTATGTGTATCCAAAGTTATGTTCAGTTCCCCAAATACTAGCTCTAACTTAACTCTTCATCTCTCTGACTGAAGAAATAGGAAACCATGACTTTAATAAAAGACTAAGCTTAATATAGACCTACCTTTAAAATAAAAACATTTGCAACAATTAGTAATCTGAGAGTCATTAGAAATAATGTACTTGAAAACATTTTATAATTACTATATTACCTTAAATGGTAATATGTTGCTCTAAAAGATGATTAAAGATTTAGAAAATATGATAATATTTTGAGGCTAAAGAAGGAAAGAAAAGAAGAGAAAAAAATGCTTGAAAAAAAGAAAGCAAAAAATATTTTAAAAATTTCCCAATAGGGGAAATTGTTGTTTTCAGATTAACTTCCAAGGGAAATTTGCTCCACATTATATATTCTGAGTTGACTATGGCTCTGAAGACCTGAGGGTTGCTTCCTTGTTAATGTAACAAAGTAGTGACTCCACATAGGTCCTGTGGAATGGAGAAAATGCATGCAGAACGTCTCATGTTTATTCTATCTGGTAAACGAAATGATGCTTTCCAGATGAAAAGTCAAAAAAGACTAGTTTTAATTTTACTTGCTATACTGTTCATCCTTTAATTTTAATTCCAGCTAAATGGTTTACTCTTAAAAATATTGTTTAGGTCAATAAAACTTGAAAATACACATTTTAATTTAGGGAAATGTCAATTACATCTTATTTATCCAAAAAAAAAAAACCTCAACAAACTATTGTGCAGATAAATCGAGTGCACATAAGATTGGAACTTTTGCTATTTTAAATGTTATTGAGTGATTTAAAAATAAAATGATAATATTCTAAGCATAGTACAAGTAATTACAGATTATGCACAGAGAAAGTAAAGATTAAGAAACTAGATTGCCTGACAGTAGCTGGTTTTTCCTCTCTGAAATTGAATACTTGTTGGTTGAAATGAAATACTTGGTGATAGATGTTATTCAGCTGCATTATAATTTAAGTGTCAGTATTAGTTATAGAGACCTCAAAGTTTTGAAGATAATCATAATTTAAGGAGATCTTAGCCATTTAAATAGAGTTTTCACATATGTGGATATCTACAATGACTAAATTAGGCAAATCCAGGCATTCCTCTCTATGATTGAAAAAAATGGGTGTTTGGGTCCTTCAAGTCAAATTTATAATTGATTTAATTGAAAATAAAATCTTTTTAACTTTTCAACCAAACTTAGTTTATCAGATACAATACTATATTTGTTTTGTTATATATTTCATTTCATTTTGGTCTTTCTATTATAAATCAAGGATTAAATATTTGATGTGTTCTTTCAATTAAGAGATTAGCTTGATGCTTCATGGCATTCTACAATTTTTAAAAACACTTACCCTGATGAATTAGGAAGGAATTGAGTCCAAAGCATGTCTGATTCCGTCTCAACCATTTGAAACCTATCCAGTCTTTCACAAAACAATTTTTTGATCCTACATGTGCTCCACTATCTAAATATCAAATAAGATAAAATGTAGAAAAATAATCTAACATGCAAAATTTTATGCATGGAACCTTCATTCATGTTCATTCTATGTTACAGATGATTCAGGAAGATATTCTTGAGAATGGAAATGACAAAAATGAGAAGGAAGAAATCATAAAGAGAAAAATCCCTTACATTCTGAAAAGACAGCTGTATGAAAATAAATCCAGAAGACCTTATATACTCAAAAGAAGTTCTTACTACTACTAAAAAGATAAATACTTTATACATGCTTGTGATTTATCATTATTTAAATATCTAATTATATTTGTGTGAAAATATGACAACATGTTTATTTGGTCTCTTCTATACCTGTAGTTTACTAGATGTGTTTTTGTTCTGGATTAATATAAAATGGACTAAATGTTTTCAAATAAATCTAGATCTTGAGCATGATGTGTTACATATACTTGGAGTAGATATTAATCACGCTACACATAAAATATTTTGTGATCTTTTTCAAAACAGATCATGAGTTGTTTAAACATTCAAAATGTATGGCATTTTATATGCAATTAGAAGGGATTATAACAACATATGATAGAAAAGTTTAACCAACATATTATTAGCCAAAATCATAGTAACAACAATTCTTATTATTTGACTGTTTTATTGTATGGAGAGAAATACATCCTCTTTTCCAAGACTTACTTATGCACCTTTCAGATGTAAGGAAAGCTACTGTGGTAAAATAGGACCATTCGAAGGATGATTAATAATCCATTGTCTATTATGCTATTTTAGTGAATGAACTTCAAGTGAATGTTTTGTCTGTTAAATGAGTTTGATAGCTAATAAAATGACAACGAGTCATCAGAACCATATGCTTCTCTGCATATTTACTTCCTTTAGAAGAGTGACCAACAAACCAAAGTGGACAGTTGTTATATGTAGAAAGATATTTTAATCCTGAATATAATAGATTTATTTTTAGTATCATTAAAGTATTTTAATTTTTTTTTTTGGTACCAGGGATCGAACTCATGACCTTGCACTTCCAAGGCAGGCAGTGGCACCACTGAGCTAAATCCCTGGCTAATTACAGTATTTGTGTAATTAATATTTTTCCTGATTGGGAGGGCATATTTGAAGCAAAAATTTTAATTCAAATAACCTCTATTAAATTTCCTCTATCATACGTATAGACTAATAAGCCCTTACAGCCTTTACATCTCACTGTTAGTAGTGACTTTTTTGATTATGTCTGTTCTGGGGCGTGGAGTGGGGGTCTGTGTCTAGGAAGATCTCACCTCACAAGACTGCAGCCTAATCCATTGTCTTCTCTGAAGGGTAAAATCACAGTTCAAGTGGTTAAGTAACCTTAGAACGTCACATGCTTTTGATGAGCTTGTTCTTTTCGTTTGTTTAATTCTACTCTCCATAAGTTAAGAGCAGCTCACAGATCCCTGAGTTTTACCTGGGAAACCCTGACTTTTCAGTAGCACCATCTCACCCTCTTGTGATATCCCATTGCCTCAACCAGCACTTTTTTGTTGTTTTTGGTACCAGGGATCAAACTCGGGTCCTTGTGCTTTAGAGGCAGGCAGCAGAACCACTGAGCTAAGTTCCCTGCCCTCAACCAGCTTTTAATTAGCAACCTTGGCCAAGTTATTTAAGCCTTCTGTTTCTCACCTATAAAATGTAGATAACAAGGGCCGGGGATTTAGCTCAGTGGTTTCACCGCCTGCTGTACAAGCGCAAGGACTGGAGTTCGATCCCTGGTACCCTGGTACCCACCCCCCCCCAAAATGTAGATAACAAGGGGATTTGAGGGAAGATAAAATGGGCTGATATACACATACATAATGTTTAGCCTCAGACCTGAAACAGTAAAAACACACTGAACTGAACAGTTATTATTAGTTATCAGTCTCTTTTATGAAGAAATAGCTATCAGATGGTATACTTCCCTCTTTACTTCATTAGCCAACACAATCTCAACCCTCCTAGGTCATACACCAACACCAATAGGCTATATAATCCAATATCCACCATCTTCTATCCCCTTAACCATTTGCATTACTTTGCTCTGAACTCATGGTCATTGTTTTCCTAAACTTTTTCAACTATCAATTGATTTCCTTTCCCCTTCACAACATGGAATCTGGAAACAAAGTACATGTTATAATCATTTCTATACCACTTTTCCCTTTTAAAAAACTACAGATATTTTAAAACAGTGAGCATAACATAATTTATTTTTTACACTCCAAACTTTTACCCCAATTTCTTTTCATAAAATCATTTTATCTACTCTGTTTGAACAACTGTTCTCTCTAGTTACTTCATTAACCTTGAGGACCTTTGCGTACCTGTACAAAATCTATCCAATAATGTTCCTTCAGAGTTCCTGAACATCTATTACTTCCATAATAAATATTGATCCACTTCATCTCAATCATTAACTTCCATGGTCATACTATACAACTTATTATTATTTTTTTGCAATTTTTAAATTAAGTTTATTGGTACTTATCACTATTAATAAAGTCAATGGTTAATCCTTACAAAATCTCCTTCTTAAGCACTCTAGTCTCTAAACATCATCTTTGCTTTCCATTTCACCTAACCTATTACAATCTAACATTCATGATTCAGTCTAATCCATTGAAACTCTTTATCCTTAGTCACCTTTCATTTTCTTCTTTTCTTGGCATGGATTCTATAGTGCAAAAGTACAATCACTTTCTTGTTACCTTTGACTTCCTGTCCTGTCTCACAGGTATAACTCAATACATGATGGATTAACCTCAAATTTCCCCTGATTCTGACCTTATCTGAGCAGCTTAATATACCTGCAGAAAGCACACAACCTTATTGAGGTCACATTTAAAATTTTTGATCACAGATTTGTTTTGTTTCTTTCAGTATTGAGGAAAAGAGGCCTTTGTACTGATCTACATATCTGAACTCATTTATTTATTTACTGTTTTTATTTTGAAGCAAGGTCTTGCTCTCTCTCAGGCTGGGCTCAAACTTTTGATCACCTGCCTCAGCTGGCTCGATCTTAGATCTTAAGTGTTCCCTTAGTAATCTCCAAAGTTTCTTACATATTTCCCTAATAAATTTGTTTCTCATGTTCACTGATGCTTGTTTCATATCTTCCTTTCTTTCTTGAACTGTAACACCATTCATTCTCTTCATTTTTATCTCAAAAATTTACAAAATAAGAATAAAATTGTCATCCTTTTCCCTTTCACCGAATATAACAAGCAACCTGCACCTATTCCCCATTCTTCTCCCCTTCCATTTCAAAAGAACTGTCCCTTCTCTTCTCAGGCACTTCTTCAAACACTTGTCTAAGTGAATGGTCCCAAATCTGGTTCAAGATAAGAACCTAATAGTCATTCTTAACTTTTTTCTCTAATATACATCTTCAGTGAAATTCATTAAGAAGTTTCTTTGTTTTCAATATACAGCTCAAATCTATTTGATTCTTGGCCATGTTCTCCATTATTGCTCCAAGTTTTCATCCACCCCTGTGGACTTCTAGTCTGTCTTCCTAGTATCATTTTTATCCATCTACATCTTCATAATATAAAACCTTTAAACATTATAAACTACACATCCTTCTCCAATTCTGATGATGAACTTCTGGATTCTGGTTCAGCATATAAGAAACTTGGAATTGACCACTCCATCCCAACAACAATAAAAAGCTGAACAAACTAAAACTCAATGGCACTTTTTAAATGTATAAAGAAAGAAACATCACAGGGAAAACTATTATCCCTGAAACTGTAGAGATTGGCAGGTAAAGACTTTTCTGAGAATAACATGATAAGAAACCTGAATTGCTATTAAAAACTTACTGATAGCTCAATGTGGGCAAGTAGGAGAGTTAAAATCGCTGGGGTACTCAGTATTCAGGGGAATCTCGTGCTTTTGTAAATTTTGCCTTCAGGAGCTCAACTTTTTTAAAAAAGTGAATACAGGAGGAAAATATTCTTGTACCTCTGGAAGGGGTAGGAGAAAAAGAAAGCATTTTAATGTACATCAGGGCATTGCTAGTCTAACCAAAGTCTATCCTTAAGAAAATTATTTAAAAAAAGGATCACCTGCTGGGATTTTATCAGAGCCTAACTGATTTGGCAGAAGGGAAATAGTCAACTGCAGTTCTTTGTATCTGTTCTTTCCCCACCGAAGGTGGCTGTGAAGGTGTGAATAGAAAAAAATGTGAACTTAACAATCTAGACCTCCAGTCTTACTAAACACCTGAGTCTTGATCATCAGACTACATGATGCTCCCCCACACACATATTCTTCATAACTCAGCATCATACTTCTAAAGGCCTACTTAAGTCAATAGCCTTTACTCAGGACATCATGTTATGTTATTGAAAAAAAAATATTAAGACATACAAGGTCAAACAACAACAACAAAAACCAAAAACAGTTCAAAGAGACAGAGCAAGTACAAGAACTTGACTTAGATATGGCATGAGTATTGAATTTACAGAGCACAGCTTAGGAATTTAAAATACCTGTGATTAATATGCTAAGGGTTTTAATGGATGAAACAGGAAGCATGCTAGGATGTAAGGATAATGTAAGCATATTATTTTCAAACTATAGACAATCAAGGAAAATAGATTATAAAAGAAGCCAAATGAGACAAAAATATCTTATAGAGGAACAGAAATAAGAATTACACTTGAATTCTCAGAAAATTTATAAACAAAAAGAAAATTAAATGAAATATTTGAAGTGTTCAGAGAAAAAAGAAAAGTAAAAAAACTACCAACCTAGAACACTGTGTCATGTGAAATTACCGTACAAAGAAAGATGAAGGAGTAATTAAAACTTTTATCAGATGAAGAAAAATTTAGGAAATTTGTTACCAGTAGACCTGCCTTGGGAGAAATGTGAAGAAGTATTCTAGACAGAGAAAAAAATGATATAGTTCAGAAACTCAAATGTACATGAGAAGAGTATGAAAGGAGAAATATGTGTATTTATATAGAAATTATTTTTATTCTTAAATGACATCAAAATATGTTCCCAATAATAATTGTAAGTAGCAATGCACTTGATTTTATATATATATATATAGAGAGAGAGAGAGAGAGAGGGAGTCATTTGATCAAGGATGGGACACATGATACATATATAACAATGGTCTGATAATATTATATCACCTAGTGAGAGTTATACACAAAGTATGTACTTACCTACACAAGATTTTCTCAACATTTGAAATATCAGTTCATCACTTTGACCAGCTAATGAAGAAAAATAAAACCATGACCATATCAGTATGTGGGGGAAAAGCGTTTGACAAAATATATTACCTATTCATAATTTTTAAAAGAGCTCTGAGTATACTAATAAAAGCCAGGATGATCTTGAGCTTGATAAAGAATATCTACAAAAAAATATAGCTAATGTTATACTTAATGGGGTGAAAGTTGAAGGTTTCCCATGAAGATAAAGAAAAAGGGTGAGGATGTTTTCTCTCCCAGTGTATTTTCAACACAGTACTGGACAAACAATAAGTCAAAAAAAAAAAAAAAGAAAGAACGTACAGATTGAAAAGAAAGAAATGAAATTGTCATTGTTTACTTGAGCTTAGCTAGAGTTTAAAATCTCTTAGCTAAATTTGTCCTTCAAATTGCCTGTATCTTCTTACAGCTAAGACTGGAGAAACTTATGACAAAATATCAGACTTATAGATAACCTCTATCAATAAAAGAGTCTAAGACTCACTATTTCAGTTTCTAAGTATGACTTTCTCCCCAACCTGTCCTTCCATTCCAATGTGTTCATGCTCAGCTTATACACGCTCTAATTTCTTTAAAATTTTGTTTATTTTTGCCTAG